GAGTCTGCCATGCTATGGCTTAGGGGTCTTTTATTTCCCCCTTCGGTCTCTGTATCTGTTTTGTGAACTGTATAGACTGATAGCACTGTACTGTACTACTCTATAAGGGATTGAGTCCCTATTCTGAATGAATGTAAATATTGTACATACCGTTCGGTACTGTTTACGTATATATGTATCAAAGTCTTTTTGGCATATAGACTGTCAGAGCTCATTGGACATTGTTTATTTACTGTATTGGCTTCCGCCAGGCCCTGTACTCTGTTTTACTGTATTACTGTTAAGCAGGCCTTCGGTAATCTCGGATTACTGGCCGGTTACGGTGCTAAACCCATGGGGCCGGGTTTGGGTCGTGACACATATAAAATGGACAATTTTAATTGTCTGAGCAGGTGAATGTGTATAGATTTTTCTCAATATGTTTAAATTTAAACGGATAACAGATGAGAGATCACTCGATCGATCAATCCTCTAAAGAAAATGATATTACACTTTTATAATTTATGCATTAAAAATAAGGTATTTTATTTAGTACTTATATTTACTATTTATGAAATATAAAAGTTGTACTTTATTTTTGTTATAAAAAATGGAGAATAAAAAATTTTGGGCTCAGAATAATAAAGAATTATTGAAAAATAGTTCAAAAAAAAAGCTAACCAAGAAACCGCCAAACTGCCAAGAAAATGATGTTATACTTTTATAATTTGTGTGTTAAAAATAAGATATTTTATTTAGTAATTATATTTGTTATTTATGAAATATAAAAGTTGTACCGTTATTTTTGTTATAAAAAATGAAGAATAAAAATTTTTGGACTCAAAATAGTAAAGAATTATATTGAAAATATAATTGAAAACAAACCTTAAACAATAAAGCTCAAACTGGTAAAAAAAATTGAAGTGCCTATTGTATTTTAGTAATAAATAATAAATTACAAAATAAACTTTGGTTATTTATGTCTGTGAGCTACCTAGTACAGTGACTCAATATTATCGCCCATCGTAAAGATTTCACTATTTTACTGCTTGTTATGAGTAATATATAGCAACACTATAAAATATTCTGACTCTTTAATATTCTGAGTGTTAGGTTGTGTTTGATTAAAAAATTTATGAACAGATTTGAAAAGGGAAAAAAATGTATAAAATTAAATACAGTATAAATATATTTTATTTAAATTTTAATTACTTTTTTCTTTTCTTTTTAATTTTTTTTTTAAAATTTTCTAACCAAACACTGTGTGCCATTTTGGGAACATGGTAAAAAGTCACATTTTTGAACAAAATGTCCAAAAACGTGGCTGCCAAAAACGCCAGAAAAGCCATTTGGCAAGTGTCAAAAATGCAGTCGTAAAATTACAAATTAGGGCCTATGAAAAAAAAATAAAAAAATAAATCTCTTATGTTGGGTAAGAGTATTTTGGTCATTTTAATTTGATTTGACACCATAAATAAATATTAAATTAAAAAGCAAAAAATTAACTTTTTACCAACTTCTCAAATCACTTTCAAAAAAATCAAAAAACTTGATAAAATATCAAAAGTTAATTTTTTACCAACTTCTCGAAACAACCCTGTCTTAAAAGTCCAGATTTGCTGAGACTTCTGGACATTAACCTTCTTGTTGGATCTTGGATGTGGATAAATGATGTAATTGATTGGATAATTATTTGAAATGACCAAAAGTTTTTAATTTTTTTTTTTTTATAAAATTTTTAATTTGGATGACCTCAACCTTGACAATAATGATGATGGGTGACGACAATGACATACAACGATCTTATAGATAATATTCTTTTACGTTACTTGAAATCATAATGTTAAATGCTCTCATATGCACCTTATATAATTCTATATAAAATAATATAAATTTTTATTACTTTACATAAATAATAATATAAAAATATGTAAATAAAATATAAATTCACATAATCACATAATTTTTTATAAATTTATAATAATTTATATTTAATTTACATAAATATGCATTGCATACCGAAAAAATTTCCTTGTATAATATATTATGAATAATTTAAAGGTAAAATTTTATTTTATTCTTTTGTAGTTTGAGGTTGAGTATCTTATTTTTATAGTTTGAATATAATTAGAAAGTTTCCTATGTAATTTTAAATTAAAATGTTACCGTTAGGTCTTTTAATCCAAACTAATGAAATATATATCCCACACTATTTTTTAGGATGAAATTAATTTTTTGAAAAAATAAAGTAAAATGAATATGATAAAAATTAAATTAATATGTTAATTAAAAATAAAACAGTTAAGAAATTTATTGCAAAAAATGACGTGGCCCGAATTTAGAGTTTGTACAATAAGGATGCAAACTTTAAATAAATCTCAGGTGCATAATATTTTTTAGTGAAAAGAAGTGGACTAAACCAACTATAAAAATCTAGAAAAACGGTAAAGAAATTTATCGGAAAAAATGATTATACAGCAAGATCCATACATAAAATGAATTTCAAATGTATAATATTTTACCCTTAATGTGAATGTTCACACCGTCAATGTAAATGTTCATATCGTCAATGTGTAAGGGCCCGGCCCATGTCGATCCTCGTGGGTGCTCGGAAAAATTCGAGTCGGGCCGGGCCGGCCCACAGGCCAAAAAAATAGGCCCAGCCCAGCCCGGCCCGTTGATAATATGAATATTCACATTGACAAGTTAACATTCACATTGATAGGAGTGTAAAATTGGCCTATGGCCCGTGGGCGGCCCGAAACTAGCCCGCTGCCCGGGGCGGGCCCGGGTAGGCCCGTTCACAATGTGAATATTCACATTGACATATTAACATTAACATTAACATTGACAATAGTGCAAAATTGGCCCGTGACCCGTGGGCAGCCCGAAGCCCGGGCCCTGGTCGGGCCTGGCCCGGCCCGGCCCGTTGACAATGTGAATATTCACATTGACATGTTAACATTCACATTGATAAGAGTATAAAATTGGCCAGCAGCCCAGGGCGGGCCTGGCCCGGCCCGGCCCGTTGACAATGTGAATATTCACATTGACATATTAACATTTTCAGGTTAGAGATTTGTTGTGATCTTCTCACTTGTTAGTCCTAATAATTAATGTTAGTTATGCAGGATTTTATGCATGGCATCACGAACCTTATGGGAAGCATACTCCAAAATTGTAGAGAATAATAATACATGATTTTAGGCATGCCATACAATGTCAAACTATCATTACAAGTCATATTCATGTGACACTTGGTTCTTGGACGTCTCTAATGTTAGTCTTCTTAAGTGGATCAGCTAGTGATCATGGGCATTAGAGATGAGGTGAATACAACTTGACTTTGATAATGAATTCTCGTCTACAATGCCCAGGACCACTTGGTAATTCCCTCATTCATGACGATTCACATTAATGACATCCAAGTCCCAAGTCATGTAAATGACCTGTAATGATACTTCAACATTGTCATTAAGCAATTAAGAAGAAACCTTCTAAATTGGTCAGAAGATGCTGACGTAACAGTCCATGTTGCATTAATTTGGGATCTCAAACTAGTTGTAATTCGTAGTTGCCATAAATGAAAATTATGTACCTATAGAATGAATTATGATCCATGAAGACCAGCTTCCGTTATGGCACTAGTGTGGTTGCCATCATTTCCCAAAACATCTTGACGACCTCAGAATGTGAAAGGGCCTCAAATAGGTTAACTACTTGGTCAATATACTCATACAAATTGCTCTATTAAATAATCTAGGTTCCATGTGGACACAGATAGGCAATGTGCTTTTTACCATGACAATGATGACATCGAAGGGAAGATGTATTCTGATGAGAACTAGAGAAAAAAGGATTTCTTACCCTTGGTACTAGTGACTCTTAGGTTTGGGTTGTTGCTACCCCTGCAGGCAACCAAAGCAACTGGACCAACTGGTCTTCTATCTCTAGAGTCTTACAGTAAGCTTCCTCCAATGTGTTTTCCTCTCATCCCATTAGTGAGCTTGGTTTCTTTCACCCAAGGTTCCTTTTCAGCATCACACCTCATAAGAAGTTTCTCAAAATTACCTTATTCTTGGTGCTGGTCTACTTCATTTCCTCACCCAAATCCAACTGTTTTGAAACAAAGTCTGTATTAATTGTGTTTTTGTTCAAGTTTCTAATCCTCTGCATATATACTTTAAACTTCAGATTAGGGTATTATAAATCGCTGACATGGTTTAACAAAAGGGTGGCTGGTGAGCTTATGTGATGATTAGTGGGTTGTTCCACGGGATTGCATTCAAATGCTTCTTGTTAGGTTCAAAGGTTTTGGGAGCACCAAAAGAACCAAAAACATTGTGGTCATGCATTGTTTTTGCTATTTTCTGGACTTTATGGATGGAGAGAAATGCAAGAATCTTTGATGACAAGGAATTAAACGTAGAGGCTTTGTGGGATAGGGTGGGATATTTAGCTTCATTTTGGGCATTTGTATCCTATCCTTTTAAAGGAGTCCCTTTGTTTTTGATCTCTAGGAACTGGGCTGCTGTTTGCTTTCCCTAGTGCTAGGAGTATTGTTTTTTTGTTTTGTTTTGTTCTCTCTCCTTTGTATGAGGACTTCTTGTTGTCTTTCATTTTTCTGATTTATAATGAAACTTTTTGTTGATGCTAAAAAAGAAAAAAAAAGAACTTGAAGGAGTTTTTTGTAACTTGTGTTAAGTTTGTCAAGCACTGTCTGAGATTAGTGACACAAGCCGTGCCCTGCCACATAATGCTTTCCAAATTACAAAGTTAATCCATCCCAAATTTTTGATAAGAAATCATGTGAGGTCAGACCTCAGTAATCTAACTGTTTTTTTCTTTTTTTTGAGAAGTACCTTACATTAATCTTAGTGGAAACAATGTGTTGAAACACTCCAAGGATGCTTTCTTCTTGAGAAGTTATCTCCAATTAGTCTTTGTTTACTTTGACTGCTCTTTATTTCTTTGTTTTATTGGTTACACATGTCAAGTTTCCGGCATCCTTATATTTAATTAGTTAACCTCTTTTATATATGATCATGCAGTTGATTGCTGTTATTTTGGGTCATCTTTGGACCTCTGAGTAAGTTTTGAATTCTAAATTATGTTCTTGTCTTTTCCTCGAGTGAAGTTAATTTTTGGAATTCTTTATGTCTTTTAGTTTCCGTGTTTGAGATTGCTGATTTATTGCAGGCACCCAAAAATGAGAACAAGAATTGAACTACTACTGAAGCAGAATAAACTCACCAAGAACAATGTTAAGGATATACTTCAGGTATGTGCTGCTTAATTGCTCCTCTTTGTAGCCTTGGCAATCTTTTAATCTTCTCCAACCATTATTTGTCTGCATAAAATGAGTTCTGATGTTTATCGCGGTTGTTGATGGTATCATTTCTCCATAATTTGGGTTTGTTTCAGAGTTGTAAATATTTTGTGCAGTTTGGGAGCATTAGTTAGATAATTATAGACACTGTGGAATGATTATGGTCTATAATTATAGACACAGTGGCTTGCTGAACTTTGGTTAGATTATTGAAGACATTGTAAAAGTGAACATTCTGTATATTTAATTGACTTTGCTTTTTTATTTTTATGAATATTTTTTTGGGTTGAACCACAGGAATATCACGACAACATTGGTGATCTGGATGGGCCAGAAGAGAAGGATAGGGCGCAGACAAAGATCCAAAAATTCATCTCAGCCTTTTGAGCCTTTTTGATAATTGTTGATCAATTTGTAGTTCAAGAAACAATATGTGCCTGCATGTTTCAGTTACTGGAAATATGTTGATTTGATTGATTTCTCAGCTCTTTGTACCCGATATGTAATCATTTTAGTTTAGAGCTGGATCCGTTGTCAGTGCTTTCGATTCAGCACTGATACTTGTTAGACTTCTCTATTAAGCAAAACGGAACTGCTACGTAGCTGGAAATTGTTGAGCTTGAAATTGGCTCGAATCCAAAACGACGTCGTTTTGGAAATTTTTTTTTTCTCCTCCTTTCTTCGCGTTTTTTTGAAGATGAAGAAGAAGAAGAAAAAGAAGAAGAGAAGAAGAAGAAGGAGCTGGGTCTGCTGCGCTGCTGGGTTCATCAACATCAACAAAAAAAAAAAAATTTGTTGATCAACACGAACAAATTTTTTTCTGAACAATTTTTTTTTTGTTCATCAACATCAACAAGATCTGGGTCTGCAGATCCAGGTCAACATCATCAACATCTTCATCAACAATTTTTTTTTTGTTTGTTTTTTTTGTTTTTCCTTCATCTTCAGATTTTGAACATCATCGTCATCTTCAACATCATCATCATCTTCATTAACAAAAAAAAATAAAAAAATTCCCTTTCATCCTCAAATCCAGATCTACTGGAAAGGGGACCGCCATCACCAACCGATCACCGCCATCATCGACCGCCATCACCGAGAGAGAGACCGCCATCACCGCCGATCTTCCTTCTCCTCTTCTCTCTTCATCTTCTCTCTTCCTCTTCTCTTCTCTCTCTCCCTCCCTCGTCTCTTCCCTCTGTATTTGAATGCACCGAGAAAGAAAGAAAGAAAAGGAAAAAAAAAAAAAAAACCCAAAACGACAACGACGTCGTTTTGGATATTCTGGCCAATTTCGAGTCAACAATTTCGAGCAACGGATCATTTTTCATAGTAATTTTGTGTGAGAAATAGTAAAACGTATTTGGTGATGCATAGTATTTGTTACATTATTATTTTTGTCTTTTTTCATTAACTGTTCATGAATTTTGTTCAAGGGTTAATTACATCAAGACCCCTTCCTTCCCCTATTTGTTAATATCATTTTGGCCCCACAATTATAAATCCATGCATTTTGACTCTCTTAATTATAAAATTGTATCACTTTCACTTTTTAAGACCATATTTAAAAGGGGTGTATTAGTACGGTGTTCATAATTGAGGAGGCTAATATGTACAGATTTATAAATGAAAAGGTTAACAATTGAGGGAGTTTGGGTGTAATTAACTCTTTTGTTTAAACTCATTACTAATGGGCTTGGTCTAAACTGTACTGAGGTTTTGTTTAGCATGTGCCAAAATAGCATGCTATTTTAGCACATTATCATATTTGGGTCACAATCATCTTATTTGGATTATATTACTTCTCTGCCACATCATTTCAAACCTAACTCATATTTTATGTTTTTAAATAAAAAGTCAAAAAATATACTAATATAATACTTTCCAAACAACTCCCGAATGTACCTTGGGCTGACTTTGACTTAGCACCACAAATGATGTTGTGGCCTTAGGCCTAAAGTTGAAATTGGTCCCCAACAAGTTAGTTTAGTTCACTATAACAATCACAATAATATGGTAGTACAAAAAATAATCTTGATTATACACAATGGATTCGTTTGGAATATAGGTTGACTTTTTAGTTTTTCGATTTTTTAACTATTTTTCAACTCCTGGAAAGCAGATTTCTTTTGGTCAGTCCAGTCAAATGATATCCCCTTCTGTGTCAGTTGAGTCAACGGTAAGGCAATTTTGGAGAAATCTTTGACATATCTTCTGTAATATCCGACTAGTCGCAAAAAGCTTCGGACTTCTGTCACATTTGTTGGTCTAGACCAGTTTACTACAGCTTCAATTTTCTGCGGATCAACAGAAATTCCATCTTTGCTAACAACATGCCCCAAAAACATAACATGATCAAGCTAAAATTCGCATTTAGACAGTTTAGCATACAGTTTCTGTTCTCTTAGGGTCTGTAGGGCAAGTCTCAGATGATGTTCATGTTCGTCTATACTTTTGGAGTAAATCAGTATGTCATCAATGAATACTACAATAAAGTCATCAAGGTATGGTTTAAAGATTCTGTTCATGAGGTCCATAAATGCAGCAGGTGCATTGGTAACTCCGAAAGGCATAACTAAAAATTCGTAATGTCCATACCTCGTTCGAAAAGCAGTTTTGTCAATGTCCTCTGATTTAACTTTCAACTGATGGTATCCTGATCTGAGGTCGATTTTAGAGAACACTTGAGCACCCTGTAACTGATCAAATAAGTCATCAATACGTGGCAATGGGTATTTATTTTTCACAGTTACCTTGTTCAGTTCACGGTAGTCAATGCACAGTCTCAGTGAGCCGTCTTTCTTCTTCACAAGTAAAACAGGAGCGCCCCATGGCGAAGTGCTAGGCCTGATGAACTTCTTATCCAGCAGTTCTTGCAGTTGCACTTTCAATTCTTTCAGTTCAGTTGGAGTCATTCGGTAAGGAGCTTTCGACACTGGCTGCGTTCTCGGAATCGCATTGACGGTAAATTCGATCTCCCTGTCAATCAAATCCCCTGGCAGATTATCTGGAAATACATCTGGGAACTCTCTAACTATAGGAATATTGTTCACGTTAGCATCATCGTCAGTAGATACAGTCAATACAGAACACAGATAGCCCTTACACCCCTTTCTAATCAATTTAACAGCTTTCACAAATGAAATCAAATACGGAGGGGGTACTACTCCAACCCCATTAAATACAAATTTGGGTAAACCTGGTGGACGGAAAACTACTTGTTTCGTTACACAGTCTATGGTAGCATGGTATTTCGTTAACCAGTCTATTCCCAATATTACGTCAAAATGATCAATGTTCAGAGGCAGTAAGTCAATAAACAAATGTGCATCACCAACAATAATTTCACAAGCAGGGTACATATATGCACAGGTCATAGATTCCCCAATGGGTGATGATACAGCTAACAGATAATTCATGGGTTCTAATGGTCTATTCAGTTTTCGCGAAAAAGCATGCGACACATATGAATGCGTAGACCCCGAATCAATCAGTACATAAGCATTTTGGGTGCAAATAGAGAGAATACCTGACACAACGGTCTCGGTATTCTGCACGTCTCCCGTTACTAGGGCAAACACCCGGCCCTGCCTCATAGGCTCCTTCCCGGTAGCTTTGGGGTTCGGTTTTGGTGCAACAGTTGATGCCGCCACGCTTGGTGCACTTTACTACTGGCTTGTGGAGCAGAGGGGCAGTCTTTAACCATGTGGCCCACCTTGCCACACCTGTAACAGGCTCCAGATATTTTGTAACAGACCCCTTTGTGCTTCTTGCCACACTCAGAACAGGGTGGTGTGAAATCACTTCCTTGGCTGGGGCTAGTTGTTGACCCCGTATTCTGTTTCTTATTCAATGGGTTATGCTTGCCTTTCTTGAATTTAAAACCCTGCCTTTTACCACGCCATTCAGATGCTGGTGTTTCAGTTTTCAGTGCCTCGATGTTCGATTCAGCCATCAAGGCTCGATCAAGAACATTTACATAATTCGGTAGCTTCAAAACATTAATTCTGTCCAGTATTGCAACATTAAGGCCGCCTTCAAACTTTCTGGCCTTCTTGTAGCTAGTGTCCACCATATGTGGTGCATAACGGGCAAGTTTAGTAAATTTTGTCTCATATTCAGCCACCGACATGGTGCCTTGTTTCAGTTGTTCAAACTCAGTCACCTTTCTATCCCTAACACACTGAGTGAAATACTTCTCGAAGAAGGCTCCTTTGAATTGAGCCCAAGTCATTGCGGTGTTGTCATCACGGATAAGCATCCACCACCTTCTGGCTTCTTCTTGCAGATTAAAGGTGGCCAATAACACTTTATATGCTTCAGAGCACGGAAAAACCTCAAACAATTTTTCAGTCTCAAGGACCCATGCTTCAGCTTTTAACGGTTCAAGGCCTCCCTGAAAGGATGGCAGTTTCATTTTGCTGAACTTGTGGGTGAGAGCAATTATGTCCCCATCGTTAGCATTCACATTCTGTTCCGGCTGTATCGGAGGAGGAGGTGGGGGTTGTTGGTTCTGTTGTTGGTCCAGTCTTTCAGTTATGAGTTCCATCATTCTTTCCAGTCTTGCCATTCTTGCCTCAGAGGATGAGGTTTCAGATTCATTTGCAGTTCTCGCATTATCCATTTCACTATAGGCAGTTATAATAATTATCAACATAGGCAGTCATTTGTTTAAACAGATTAACACATTAGCATACATTCAGTCATGTCATAGCCACACACACTTATCATGCTCATGTAATGCCCTAATCACTTTCCTAGGACATCCTATAGCTCAGTTGGACACGTGTGTGCGGTATAACTCATGGTAAGTATCGCTCTGATACCACTCTGTCACACCTCAAACCCGCCCCTATGGGTTTAGCACCATAACCGGCCAGTAATCCGAGATTACCGAAGGCCTGCTTAACAGTAATACAGTAATACAGAGTACAGGGGCTGGCGGAAGCCAATACAGTAAATAGCAGTGTCCAATGAGCTATGACAGTCTGTATGCCAAAAAGACTTTTCATTCAAATATATATATATATATATATATACACAGTCAGACCAAACAGTATATACATAAAAACAATCATTCAGTTCAGGAACCTAATCCCTATTAAACAGTACCGTACAGTACAGTAAACAAAACGGTTACAGAGACAGAAGGGGGAACAAAAACACCCCTAAGCCGTAGCTTGACAGGTTCGGAACCTTGCATTGAGGCACATAGGTTGGCTCGATAAAACTAGAGTTTACCCCGATGCTCCTAGCTGCGGTCTGGTGCCTGTACACCTACATATATATATGAGCAGTGAACTAAGGCCCAGTGAATAACACAATGCGTAAAGGGGTTAAGAATGAATGTCCTTACAGTAATGAAAACAGTCCATTAAATCAGTATTTCAGCCGTTCAGTCAGTACAGTCATATGTGGTACATCCACTAGCATAACAGTACAGTAAACAGTAGGTCTTAAAAGACCGAGTAGTAAATGATAGCCATCAGTCAGTAACAGTAGCGGTTCCAACAAGGGAACCGACAGAGATCTCTGTAACAGCAACAATAAACAGTAGTTGCTAAGGATGCCACAATACAGTTCAGAATATAGGACATACATTCATTCAAT